CTAGGAAAGCAGTTCTTCTTGCCCTGCCATCCCTTCAGGGTAGGGGACTGTTTTGGGCAGCTACAGTTTTTCACCAACTGATCATAAATAGCTTGCCCCCTTCCCCAGCACAGGAGACCTGGCTCTCAGTGATCAGGCTCCACTGGGGACCCCAAGAGAATCCAAAGAACAGTCCCCTACTGCCTATGGCTGGAGAGCTTGCCTTTGTTGTAGAAAGTACCTGTTACTGTGGCGGGCCAGTAAGGGGCGCTTCTGCATTGAGCCACCCACCTCACTGTGCCTGACCACCTTCCAGGCTCTGAGTGCCTCACTAGGTGTGCCTCGTGTCCGGCTGACCCCCTTCCTGGGGCACACTCACTAGCCTGGGGGTAACGTAAGCTGCCACCACCCCGAGAAGGGATGCTCTCGGCCCCGTGTCCTCGGGGAAACACAGGCCTAATAGTCCTACGGGTACTCAACCCAGTACAGGCACTTGGGGCACTTCCCCAAATCGGGGGCCAAAAAGGAAAGTCTCCCTTAGTCCGCAGACCTAAGGGGCCTCTTAGGCATTATTTAGACCCACCCCTCAATAAGTCTCCTACACCGGTCACAAGGGAGAACTTTATTGATTACAGGGGGTAGGGTGAAAATAGGGTACAAGATAGAGCAATATCATAGAAATCCCATAGAGCAAAACAGTCTGGCTGAGGTAACCTTTTGATCATGCATCTGAGTTACTATCAGCTGTGTATCTAACCAGATCTTGAGCAGCTTACTCACAAGCATCATCCAGAGGCTGTTGGAGATTCCCTCTGGAGGCAGGCTGTTCCTAGCTCATGAGTTATGTGGGGACAGAGCCAGTTTCAGATGGTAAAACTCTTCTCTAAGTCTGAGTTCCCCGCATGGCTGCTGCCCCCTCCTCCTGTGCATTCGTAACTTACATAGCCCCTGTGATCTCATTCACCTGGTCCAATGGAGGCCAGCACCTGTTGGCTGTCGGCCAACCAATTTGAAATACATCACTAGTTGCTGGGCAGACTCTAGCCCACCAGGTAGAAGCCCCTCACCCAGGTAGCTGATACCAGTCACGTAGGCAGAGGGAGCAGGTGTCCCCCCTCCCTCAGGAATGTATCCATCTCAGGTTACCTAAAGAGATAGGTGTGTCTCCTCTGCTGGGCCCATCCTAATCAAATTGTCACAGAGCAGAGATTTTGGGGAGAAACAAAGGTGGCTTCCTGCCACAGTTACCACCCCTAATTTTCAGGGCTTCTACAGCAAGACAGACAGCATCTTTGAAAATGATGGGAGTTTGGGGCCTGCTAGTGCCGTGATACCAACACATCTGCATCCTCAGTGAACCCTGATTTTTTACATTGGGATAAATGCACAGCCTTGGCACTGAAAAAAGGCCACACACTTAGAGTGAATTATATCACCTATCAGTTTTCCACAGTGGGTAAAGGGGGAAAGAAAACCTTTGGAGTTTATTGCAGCAACTACTTAACAAACACAGGGATATTTCTCAAAAGATGAAAGTTGAAGAAAACAAGTCAGAAGACTTTCTTCCTTATAATTACAAAACCCTGGAGAAGTCACACCCCTAAAATCACTATCTAGTTTCAAGATGTTTTGGAAGTTTTAGTAATGGAAAAGTTGTCTTATGAAGTCAGTGCTCAACAGGGAAGGAAGGGAAAAATGCTTTGCTAAATTTCTTGAAAATTCTTGGAATTTGCTAAAAACAAATATCTTTTCCTGCCTCCAAACCAGAAAGTTTAAGAAACATTCTTGAACACTGAAGGAAAGTGCAAGTTCTACAAGCTAACAGTGAAGAACAAGACGGAAATAAATTCATCATTTAAAAGCAAAGATGAGTAGAAAATGGCAAGATCTGTATTATGCAAAGTTCTTAGAAAAAAGGAGTGAATTGTCAAACAGAGACGAAAAAGCACAAAAACTTAACATTGACTGAAACAAAGGAGCTGTCATAACTAAAGGAAAAGAGAAAGAACAATAGTCCTGTAGACATCAACTTGGGTTAAGGGAGCATGGTTCATAGAAGACAAATATCTGCATTTATATATATTTTAAAATAATTGGATGTAAAAGTTACATTGTCATTTGATAAGTTGCATTTGTTAATAAAAAGGGTTTTGTAAATATTAAATAAAGAACACTTTCCTTAAGCTGGGAAAAATAGGAATGAGAGCATGCAATCCTCAAATAATAGAGTAACAAAATAAAAATTGTTTTGTAAAATTTTGTCTGTTCCTCAAGACCATTTATCCAATATCCCCTCCTCCTTGACCAACCTCTCAAACCTGCCACCTACCTGTCTTAACCCTCCTTTTCACTACCAGAAGTGCATTTAAACCACCTTCTGTCTGCAATGGAATTATCCATGCTCTGCTCTCCAAAGCTAGCAGTTGAAGCAACCTTCAGTTGGGCATACATAGTAAGGCCCTGGACAAAAAGCTGCCAGGCATAGGATTTAAAGTCCCCAGGTAGAAAGCTCTGATCCCCTATCCACTCCCCTTGGAGCACAGCAAAAGCAAAAAAAAATTCCCCCCACAAAAATCAACTGATTGTCAATCCAGGGACTTGGACCATGTGGAGAGGAGGCAGTTCCAGGTCCTGTGCAACCCCAGCCCAGAAACTTACTATTAACTATTAGCCCCAGTCACAAGTTCAAATTTGAGGAACCATATAAACAAGCTACCATGAAAAGTATTTTTTTTTTAATATCTCACACTTACAGCACCCTTCCCATTTCTGCCACAACTTACTTATTAATCATGGCATAAAGGTAACATGTAGGGGAGGCCTGCACATCCAGTGTTGAAGGCTACCTGTCTGTTCTAGATAGTCAAAGCATTCTCATACAAGAACTGAGAAATAACATCATTAACCAACTGAATTTACCTTTTCCAATCTTCAGTCTCACATCTGCTCTTTTCTCTTACCCTTCCTTCTAGATTCAGCACAAGTAAATGTTCCGTCTCTGCTACTCGATTTATATTTCTAGAATATCTTCACAAAAAATTGCTTTAGAGCATTGGCTCTCAACGTTTTTCGCCTCCTTGCACTGTGGCACCTTGAGAGAACCTCATAGAGTGCCAGGGTGGGCAGACAGTGTGGCCCTGCATCTACCAACCCACAGCAGACCACACTACTGAGAGCACAGGGACTGGGAGAAAAAGGGGAGGCAACAGAAGCTGCCATCATCCTTGTAAAACTTAAGGCTGCCTTGACTTTCTTTTGTCACTCATGACTTTCTCCTGCCTGTCACTTACATGCATATAGCTCCATAACCATGACTGTAAAGCCAATCACTCAAACGATTCTACATTCATATCAAATACTTTTCTCAATCAAATGCTGATAATTCAAGCCTATGTAAATGTCTTCATTTTACCAATAAAAACTGTTCCCAAGACATTTAGTAGCTCTCAGTGTAATGCTAGTCATTCATATTTAAAATTAGATTACACATCTCCATAATTACGCATTATATTCATTATAAAACTGCATTTTTTAAACTATGGAAACACCCAGCTTCATCATATTTTCATGAGAGTGGAATAGCCTTTTATTGTATCTATACAGAAGAGACATGAAGACAAAAACAAGCCAATTGTACTTCAATTTTGCCCTCAGCTTTCATTCTTTCCACTTAGCTTTGTGCCTACATGTAACTAGTATCATTATGTCTGTCAGGGGCAATTAGTATTAGTAAGATTATTTGTCTTATTATATTATTATCATCATCATACATGCAACTAGTATTATTTTTGATTAGCTGTTAACATAAAGCCAATAACTATACTACTAGGTGGCTTGAAAAGAAGTGGCCAAGTGAAGCTTTAGGAGAATTTTTTTCATCCATGATAGGCTGGATGAATACCTCAAAGCAAAAAACTTTCTAAAACAAATTCACTGGCTTTTGCAAAACATTGTTCCATCCCTTCTCTCTGGATGTTTAATATTAGAATTGCCTTCATGAAACTGGAAGACAGTTAACCTCTACAATGTGCAGAAACAGACCTGAAAACCTATAAATAGCTGTGAGTGGTTTTCTGTTTTACTTGATTTATTCAGCAAACATATCATAGTGTCATGTCAATATATCTGGGCCTTAAATGCTTTCCAAATATTTAACACATGCATACTCCTGCGACAAGAAAATGGACAGACAAAACATCAGCAGGTGAGGGAGAGAAAAAGGCGTTCTATTTATCCAGGCAAAAGTTAGAGCTATTTAGAATATTAAGTTATTTATTTGACCCCCCTCTCACATAACTCGCATTTTCACTTAGGAGGTGATAGTTTCATCTTGGTTCAGTAAATTCAGTTTGTTTTTCAAAATGTGATGCACACACATTTAAATGTAGCATTGAATGTTATCACATGTTCCAATAAAGGTGTTATCAAAAACCTTAAAAATACAGTTGAAAGATAATAGTTTTCTTTTTCTTTCTTTTTTAAGATACAGGTTTTATTAATCCCAATGCTAAATTAAGAATATATTTTAAGCTACTCCTCCAGTTCCTTCTCACAAAAAACAGCCTTAGTGCTTTTCTACATATGGAAGCTATCTGGAATTAAATTAGCGAAAATCTGAAGCAAAACAGCTATTCTACATAAATTCCTTACGTAGGGAAACATTACTTTGTATGGCAGTCTCAAACTAAATGAATGACAAAAAACATTATGAGAAAAAAATGAATTTGAGCTATCATGTTTAGCATGTTATTTATACACCTTTCATTTATTTTAGGTGATGTGGAAATTTAAGTAATGCAGATGCAGTTCCATGATTCTAAGCATCTTTTTCATTAGCCATCATTTTCATCCTTCTAAACAACTTTGAGAAGTTGAATGTAGGCAGCTGAAATTGAGAAATAACACTGCATGCAACACTAAGAAGATAGATAAAGAAGTGGATAGCATAGTTCATGCAGCGAAAGAAAATAGATGCAGGTCTGTGCTGACTGCCTCGAGCATACACATAAGATGACACTGACCTGGAAGATGCTGAAGTAAGAGAATTATTTCCATCTCTTTCATTTGCAGTTTTGGTATCACAATGGTCATCTCTGATTTTAACACTCTTCCTTTCCTTTTCACGTGCAGTCACTTGTGCTGCCGGAAGAAGAACTATATTCACTGGTTCTGCCTCAACGGCATACTTCTTCACAAAACCACTACTTTGTTCAGAGTTCTTAGCACTTAACTTTGTTTCTTCCTTACTTGAAGACTGAATGAAAGCATTTTCCTTTACTGAAGCATTTTTACCATCTAAACATTCACAAGTTGTGCCTACTGGTATCTTCTCTCTCCTTGTTACACTTTTTGGGACTTTTACTAGCTCTAGAAAAGAAAGAAATATACTTGTATTTACATACAAAAAGAATACACTTAGGCTGAGTTCAATTACCAACTTACTCATGTATTTACACAAACTAACTAAATAGCTTTTTTTAGTATTTAAGAGACAACAGGCTTCTCATTTGTGACTTTTTTTTGTTTTTTTATTACAGACAATATCAGTTCTTCCAAGTTATGTCTAGACTTTTAAGAGAACATACTGAACTGCAAAACACCCTATCAATTTTTCATCCTTCACTGGCTTCTTGGTTCATTGTCTTGATGACAAGAAAATAAAAGGTAGAGCTCTAGCCAGTACCTCAGAAATTGGTTCTTTTCCATAAAACCTTGTCTAAGGGCACTTCCATCTCCTGAGATCCTTTTCCTTTCCTCACAACCTTGCATTTTCCCAGATTTTTCATTAAGAATCTACCTATTATTTTTACAGTACTGTTCTGGTTGCAAGATAATCAAGATGGAGTTACTGTCTTCAGCTACTGGGGCTAAAGTCACCTCTTCCCTTTTGTGACCTACCTGAAATGTGAAATTTCCAAGTTAGGAAGATGTTTAATTTTATCAATCAATCTTTTGGGCACTGATACTTCTAAAATCAGGGGCAGGCAATTATTTCAGGTGGAGGACTGCTTTAAGCGTTTTGACAAGCTGTTGAGGACCACAAGGGTAGTCCTGCTTCTTGACAGGTGCCCCACACCCTGGCTGCCATCTTGGTGCCAGAAGTCCCACCCCTTAACCCCTGACCTTTGTCACCAGAAGTCCCTGCCCTTGCCCCAGAAGTACTCCTTTTGGGAAGGGGGTTTGCCATCTTAGAACCGGGGGGGAAAAAAACCCCACAAATTATAAATTAAAAATCAAACAATAACATTTTAATTTTATTTTAATAAGATTTTTTTGCCTTGATATGTGTGTGTTTGCATCAAGTATATAAATGTGATTGCATAATAGCTTAAAATAGAGCCTTACTCTGGTATATTGCAGGAGGGTGTGGAGGAGTGTGGAGGGCTGTGTGGGACAGTGTGGGAGTATGGGTGGATATGGGTGCAGGGAACATGTGGGTGGGCATGGGGTTTGTGGGGTGTGTGGAGGGGAAGGGTGGCTGGGGGGGTATGTGCATGTGTGTGGGGTGTGTGCAGGTAGTAGTGAGCCAGGGCTCTCTCCCCAGAGACCTGTGAGAGAGTGTGGGTGGCTTCGTTTTTTGTGGGGCACGAGGGATGGCGTGGTTGTAGGGTTTGCAGGGGAGGGTTTGTGGGTATGCTGGGGTGTGCATGGAAGTCCCTGCACACTCCCCACTCAGCACCTGCCTCTGCCCTGTAACAGCCTGGAGCCCAAGTGGCCGTTGACACTTCCCCACCACTGCCAGCAGCACACAGCCCCAGTGTGCCCTGCACCGTATTTTGCCCACCTCTGTATTAGAGTTTTGATCTTTTACCATTCTTGGTTCCTTGTCTCATTTTGGGAGAAGGGAGAAATTCAGTACTGTGCCTTTGGCACACAGTGGGGCTAGGACGGCTCCATGCTGGATTGCCTTTGTAGGCAGCTGCTGGTCCCAGCCCTGCGGTACTAGTGGGGACCTGCACACACCTCATCCCCGCCCCATGCCTGCTGCAGACTCGCCTGCTCATGCTGGACAGCAGCAGCAACAGCAGTGCCAGTGAGGCAGAAGTGTGCTCAGCATGGTGGAAAAGCAGCTTCTCCCCCTCAGCACTGCCCAGCACTTCCTACAGCAGCTGCGCAGAACCTGCACTGGGCTGCTCTGTAGCTTCTCTGTGCTGCCCCATGGGGCAGCCTGGAGGCAGCAGTGAGAGTGCAGGGCAGCCCAGCACAGCTTCCGTGAGGTTGCTGCAGGAAGTGCTGGGCAGTGCTGAGGGGGAGTAGCTGCTTTTCCCCCAAGCCAAGCTCACTTCTGCCTGCCTCATGATCTAGTGAAATTAAACTGAATATATTCATCATTTTAATAATGATTTTAGATAACGTTCTTGTCCCAGCAACTCATGGTCTATGTTAAAGGGAGATGTTAAACATAATTACCAAGTAGTATGTTTATGATCAGGACAAAGATGTCTCTTGACCTGACTGAATGAACCTTTTTGTCATGGCAAGAATTAATGATCACATATTTATCTGTTCTATTCAGTCTTAGTTATCAGAGATATTTACCTTCAGGTTCATACTTCATTTTCAGCTCATCCAGCAAAACACGCAAGTTCATGTTCTCACTCTGGCATATCTGCAAATGCCTCTCATGTGTAAAAAGTTTCCTTTCTACCTCCAGAACTCTCTGGCTCTCATACAAAGCTTTCATCCTTTGCAATGATAGTTCATTTCTTAAAGTTTCTGTCTCCTTACTGGAGTGGGAACAGGGACGGGGAAGAAACAACAACATCAACACACATACAGTAGTTAGCCTTTCATAAAGTTACGTAAAAAGAATTTAGACTGTTTTTACACATGAACCACAGATCTTGGATAGTAAAAAGTCCTGATAGAATCCAATAAATTATTCACATAATGCTCACTACTTGAAATTAGCAGATATTTAAAAACTGATTTAAGTTTGTAGTAAAATGGTGCCTTGAAAATTCCTTTAACATGGACTTGTGTATGGACAAAATTACTTAACTTGGCCACCAAAATCCAGGAAACACTTGAGTTGTTTCCTAAGTATGGACTGGAAGTACATCATTTGAGCTAAAATGTTGAGAACTCAGGGGCAGTTTCCTGATATAAACCCAACCCAAAGCTGAGTTTCTTCAGTAAAATGCTGTTCTGTAAAAACAAAGATGGATTACAGATCTGAAGAGTTGCTTGTAATTTTAGGAACCTACAATTTTCTTTTCATTTTGAATTAGTATAACTATCCTGCATGACTCTTGCACAGCTGAATGGGAAGGAGCTGCAACTTAAGCATGCACTCTTCACAGCCCTTCTTGGTCCAACCCCACACAGAAAACAGAGGCATGCTGGGCAGGTGGGATTATCCTATGCTTCTGTTTCTGGGAGAAGCATGCAGTGTCAGACCACAAAAGACTGTGGAAACAGCTTGCACTCCAGCCACAGCCCTTCGCTTTTCCCAGAAGGGTGGGCTGAAGCAGCCTCTTGTAGTATCTGTTAGAGGAGAGAAGTGCAAGGACCCCAGGAGCAAGTAAAACCACACTTCTTCTCAAAACCCCTGTGGCCCTGGGCAGAGGGGATAGGGTTAAGTGTTGCCCAGGGCACAAAACTCATTTATGCCTCTGCTTCTGCCTGCTTTAGGGTTTATGGTTCTGCCCAGGCAGAAGTGTTAGGCAGCACTATGGTTGAGAACTAGTGAGGTAAGATGCACAAAAGTGGTTCTCAACCAGGGAACCAAATTCAAAAAGGGTTTTGAAGGAGTGCCCTAAGCCAGTGGTTCTCAACCTTTTAAACCAGAAACAGAAGGCCACTATTCCTTTTTCTTGACCAGGGCTCAAGGGACTAAAAGTAAGTCATCTTTTCTCAGTTGCCAAACCAGTTTGTGCTAGATTTTTGTAGATTAACATAAATACGGATGGAGCATTTTACTTGTTAGGTGCAGGATATCCTGCAGCTCATGTACACAGCCTCCTCCTTCTCTTCCTGCAGCAATTCATCTTCATTACACACAAAGCAGCATTCAGAACGTTTTAATTAGCTAGTTAAGGAGACATACTAGCAATTAGGTAGTTTGAGGTACAGGTAGTTAGCTGTATTAATCTGAAGTCAGTCAGAAGGTAGTCAGCCAAATATCAAAAAGAAAAAGAAAAAGGAAAAGAATCGTACAGTCAGTATCTAGGCCCTGAAAGAGAAGATCTGTCATGGACACTTGCATAGATCTCAGATTGCAGAAATTTATAAGGACATCCTGGCAACTGAGAGACACTGTCACAGGTCATTATGCAGTTAACATTTAGAAGTGCCTAGAACAGGGGTGTCAAACTCACCTTATGCCCCATGACCCAGGCTGGAACATCCATGTTCCAAAATGGGGCACATGGCAGTGGTGGCTCCAGTGTAGGGCACCAGAATCAACAGCCAAGGAGTGCAATAGGCAAACCACCAGAGGGCGATTGGGGCTATATAAATCCTTACTCCGATCCCAGGCCCATTGGAGCCAGAAGTTCCAAATTATGCAACAGGCTACTCAGTGTACCCTATAACTTCCAATTGCCTGCCAAGCCAGACAGAGGAGCTCCATGAGCCACATCTGGCCTTCAGGCCATGCTTGATATCTCTGGCCTAGAGATATCCTAGCAATTCAGAGTCTGTAAGGTTCAGGGAAGTGCCATGCAAAGATGCACACGCATCTAACTCCATATGTTGAAAATGGAAATAATACAACTGCAGTACTGCAACACTGACATGGCTCAGAACAGCACTTTGCCTGGGCTGATAATGTAATCAGACTGACTACATTCAGAAACCACAAACACAGCTAAGCTTGAGGTATCTCTGCATGATGCTCACTTAACCTGCATAGGCATAACTTAACTGCCTCCTTGGAATGAAGGACATCCACTCTGCTCTGTCAGTGTTGAGAATTTAAATTTTAACTAAGTCAAATTACATCTGGTAGTTTACTAACCCCCCAGTTCTAAATTGTAGAGTAATATTTCTTATCCAAGTGAGGAAAGAGATCCTCACCCGCTGTTTGCATCTGGGGATAAGGACCAACCTAAAATAATCCCACACAAACCACTGTATAGATATTATAAGATTGATATCAGCTGTCAGGACATAAGTGTTCTCTCTGCAAGTGCCTGTAGCAATACAGTTATAACAGAACCAGTGCAAAGTTAATCCTATTTCACTCGGGGTCAATTTTTATGACTTTTATTGCTACAGGAGCACATGGGTAACAAGCACATTATAGCTGCCACATTCTCCTGAGAGACAAGCCCCCCCGCAAGTTTTATATCAATTAAAGCTACCTCTGTCCATAGTCTGCTTATTCACTACAGCCAGGTACTTAGGACCTATGTAGACATTGCTTCAGTAGAAAATAGTTAGTAATACTTCTCCCCCTCCCCTATTTTTAAGTGGTAACGGTAAATTGTACAAGGAGTTTGCCATAAATAATAAATATGGCCCATAACAGCCTCATTAACAAGATGTGCCCAAGTAGAGGCATGGGTGGTTTCTGAACATTTGTAAGGAACCTTGCATCTCTTCAGCCAGTATCTTCAGGTATTTGGCTCAACGCATCTCCAAAGCTCCTCCCCCATCCCACATCTAGGTCACAGTTGTCTTTCACAGGCAAGACAACTTCCTTCATTATTGCCAATCGGCCACATTAGCTGTATTCCATTAAAAAAAAATTGCATGGGGCTCAGATTCTGTTTACGGCAGACACTTCTAGCACGGAGTAAGGGAGGTGGTACCCCTGACTTAAGAGATATGGCATATTAGTGAAGATGCCAAGGACTCCAAGGTACCTACATTCAGCAACACTGAATGGAAGGAGGTGGGAGACAGGGAGGTGTACCAGAGCTTATGCCTACTCTTTTATGCCCATTACACCAAGACAGAAATCAAGCTCTGTGTTACTGCAGATACATATCCATAAAAAGGTACATTGGAGATTAAGTAGGGTGCTGTCCCTCCTCTTGTGAGAAAAGCTTAAAAAACAGAAGAGCATTTTAAGTCTAAAAAGGGCACTGTTCGACTTGAAAATGCTGTGGTGATTCTAGAAGACCCTGACCTTGGGGAAACTTCAATGGTTGTAAGGTAAAAAGCACCAGTATTGTGGAAAAAATATTTAGCTTTGTTAACGGCTAAGGCTACTAGCTTCTCATATTTGTAGACTGCTTTGTACTGAATACTTCTTTGGTTTCACAGAGACAGCAAAACTGTCAGAGGGAAAAAAAAAAAGTACAGGGCTAATACACTTAGCATTAATATACAGTGATTGGTACAAACAGACTATTCCCACAATGATTAGGGGGAAATATTCATAATGATGGTAATCAGATGTTCTAGCTTCAATACAAAAATAAATTAGCTTTCATTCTTAAGATGGTACCAATTCAGACAGTGAAGTATCTGAATGGGGCTCTTTGGAGTCTGACCCAGCTTAAATGGCTTGCCATTAATTATCACTGGGCATCAATGCCTGCTCTTCCGAGACAAGCACATTCTCCATTTCTGAAGAGCAAGGTTTAAACTGTCCTAAGAAAAACTAAAGCCACCCCAATTTTTGAAGAGAAAGCTGATGTATCTAACAGATGCTCTCCTGAACCAAGACTGGAATTCCCCAGGTTTGTCCAGCCTGAAGTTCAGTAGCTCCATACATCCTGCCTTTTGCACATGGCTCATTCTAATGGTTCTGTTTTGGGAAAGCACTTGCTATTAACATCAGAGATAAACCAGTTAGAAAGCATCTCACGTGAGCTTCACAGAAAATAAGAGTAGAAAGGAACCTCAGGAGGTAATTTAGTCCAACCCACTGCTCAAAGCAGGACCATCCCAACTAGATCATCCCAGCTGAGGCTTTATCTAGTCAGTCTTTAAAACCTTCAAGGATGGAGATTCTACAACCTCCCTGAGTAACCTGTTCCAGTGCTTTACTACCCTCCTAGTGAGAAGGTGTTTCCTCATATCTAACCTAAACTTCGCTTGCTGCAGCTGGAGACCATTACTCTTTAGTTCTGTCATCTACCACCACTGAGAACAGTCTAGCTCCATCCTCTTTGAAACCACCTTTCAGGTAATTGAAAGTTGTTACTAAATCTCCTCTTAGTCTTCTCTTCTCCAAACTAAATAAACCCAGGTTCCTCAGCTTCTGCTCAGAAGTCACATTCCCCAGCCGCCTAACCATTTTCATTGCCCTCCACTCAACTTTCTCATATTTGTCCACATCCTTTCTGTAGTGGGGAACCCAAAACTGGACACAGTACTCCAGATGTAGCCTCACCAGTGCTGAATAGAGGGGAAGAATCACTTCCCTTGATGTACTGGCAACACCCCTGCTAATGCAGCCCAGCATGCTGTTAACCACCTTCACAACATGGGCACACGATTTGTTCATATTCAGCTTATTGTGCAATGTAACCTCTGGGTCTTTCTGCAGAATTGCTGTTTAGCCAGTCAGACTCCAGTCATACCAGTGCATGGGATTGTTTTTTTCCAAGTGCAGGACTGTACTTGTCCTTACTGAATTTCATGAGATTTATTTTGATCCAGTCCTACCAATTTGTCTAACATGTATTGAAACTGCTACCTCACAAGAGCCAATAGACTTAAGCCATTAACATCCCTGGGAAATGGGACAAAAAAAAGAAAGGAGAGAATGCAACAAGGTAAGAGACAGGGGGAAGGGGAGAAGAGGAAGGAGGGAAGATCGAGAAAGAGACAGAGAGTTAAGGCTATCAAAGAGTTTGTGAACAGACCTTAAAGATCTTCAGCTAACATTATGGTGCATACAATTACAGTTAAGAACAAATGGAGGCATCAAGATGCAGGTATAGAAGAGCTTTATTCATTAGCTGTGGTCTGAAAGAAACTTAGTGGTAGGCTGGGCTGCTTTTTTTTGCATTTTCCACATGGGCACACATGGACACCAAAGGCAGTGGACACAGCCCCAGATAGACACTCAGAACACATACACCAAAAATGGAACACACACCACACAAACAACTAAGAAAACTGAATACTAATTCTAGAATAAAATTACAGCCAAACACTAATTTCTAGGCTTCAGACCCCCACCACATACTTACTTTGAGTTCTCAAGCTTCATTTGAAGTAAATCTACGTAACAGCCATCCTCAAATTCTCCACCTTTTGAACTACTACTGGATCTAAATTCCTCTGTCTGATACAAGGAAAGAGTAAAAAAAGTCAACCACTGCAAACGCAGTTGTAGAGTTTTACTTTAGTTCCAATTTTAACATTCAAAATTTTCAAGAATTTCCAAGCATGAAGTCAATAAATTTTTCTACAAAATTAAGAAAAGAAGCCTCCTTGCTGATCATACAGCTTTTTTATTGGTCTTCAAAACAACGGGACCCAGAACTGAACAACTGATCCTGGCCGTAAAGGGCCAGCTTTCAGGAAGAAAAAAGCAGCTCTGAATCCAACTGCCACCTGATCTTCAGGACACACACTTTACTGCTTCAAATCTTACTCTAAAGTTACTTTGCAGCCTCTTCATCATACCTAAAGCCTTACAAAAAAGCCATGTTTTACTTTCAGCAAGTCAAAGGCATGACTTGTGAATGTTTTCAAGCAACAAGGATTACTTAGTCCAGCCTGATGTAATGTTATGTTTCACTGAGTTCTTAGAAACCTTTTCCAAATATTGGATCTCAAATTGATTTGGGGGCCAATTTAATTTTAATGGAAATTGGACATCTAGACTTCCTAAAGAGCTTTAGGAAATATACAGCTAAAAGGATCTTGTGCTTCCTTTGCCAGTGAGCTGCTGAAGTCCATCCCACATGGCATGCATTTTTAGTGGCAATTTTTATTGTTCTTTAGGCTGATTCCTCATGTATGATGAAGCACAGTGTCTGACAAAGTAGGCTGCCACCTACAAAATGTTACACATGTCTATACTAGTTGGCCCCATTAGTCTGAAGTCAGGTAGAAGGCAGGGCAGGGTAGGGTGACACCTTAAAGACCAAGTACCTCTCTCTACTCATGCTTTTAACCTTCCCTTGAGTAAAGCTGCCATCTATATATAATGAAAACTATTTAATGGGTAATATGCCACTAGCCATAGATGGAACTTGTTTTATAGTATTTTACGCAATATGAGAAATTGAAAGGGAAGACCTACTGTTACTTTTTAACATACTGAAATACTTGGTTCCCCAAGTTCTGTTATCCCAGTACAAATATGGACCTGGAGTTACAAAGCAATAGGGCTGTGCAAAGCTTCGGTAGCCGATTCAATTCAGTACAGATTTGGCCCAATTCAGAGACCGAATCTCCAAATCCAAATCGAATCGGGAGCCCAATTAAGAGCTCTGAATCAATTCGGAAAATCTTTGGCTGCTTCAGCGATTTGGTCATAGACTAAACAGGCAGCAGCCCGTACCACACTGGACACAGCTGCCTCCAGCTGCTAAGTCTATTGGGGTTGGGGGGGCAACGGGGGACTGGGTTAAAGTGCCCAG